CCAGCGTGGCTCAGTGGGACCCTTCAGCCCACAGGCTGACGCTCTATCCACTGAGCCAAACCCAGCTAGGGCTCTTCTTTTCTTTTTTAAAAATTTATCTTTATTGTTGATGAATATATTTTTATTGATTTCAGAGCATTGACTTATGAACCAAGAGGTCACGGTTCGATCCCTGGTCAGGGCATATGCCCAGGTTGTGGGCTCCATCCCCAGTGTGGGGTGTGCAGGAGGCAGCCGATCAATGATTCTCTCTCATCATTGATGTTTCTATCTCTCTCTCCCTTCCTCTCTGAAATAAATAAAAACATGTTTTTAAAAAGTACCTTCTGTAAACCCTCCTTGCATGGTGCAGTGATTTCTGCATGCACTCTCTTCAGGATACAATGACTCTTGTAGGCACTCCTTGGAAGATTCAATGTCTACTATATGCACTCCCTACAAGGTGCAGTACCTACTGTATACACTCTCTGAACAGTAAAGTGTGTCTGTTGTATGATACAGTACATGCTGCATACATTCCGTATAGAGCATAATGCCTGCTGTATTGCTCCATGCAGGACACAGTGCCTGTTGTATGCACTTTTTGCAGGGTGCAGTGCCTGCTGTACACACCCTGCATAGCACCATAGCACTGTGGCTGAGGCTTGGGTAATGAGGCATCTCTGAGGGGGATACAATTGTCCACTTTGTGGAGTCCCTGGGCCAAGCTTTCTTTCTTTCTTTCTTTCTTTCTTTCTTTCTTTCTTTCTTCTTTCTTTCTTCTTTCTTTCTTTCTTTCTTCCTTTCTTTCTTTCTTTTTTATATATCTTTATTGATTTCAGAGAGGAAGGGAGAGGGAAAGAGAGATAAAAACATCAGTGATGAGAGAGAATCATTGATTGGCCGCCTCCTATACTTCCCCTACTGGGGATCAAGCCCACAACCCAGGCATGTGCCCTTGACTGGAATCAAACCTGGGACCCTTCAGCCCACAGGCTGACGCTCTATCCACTGAGCCAAACCAGCTAGGGCTCTTTCTTTTCCTTTTTAAAAATTTATCTTTATTGTTGATGAATATATTGTTATTGATTTCAGAGAGGAAGAGACAGAAACACCAATGATGAGAGGGAATCAGTGATCAGCTGCCTCCCGCATGCCTCCCATTGGGGATGGAGCCCGAAACCTGGGCATGTGCCCTGATTAGGAATCGAACCATGATCTCCTGGCTCATAGGTTGACGCTCAACCATTGAGCCTCATAAGCCAGGCCTGATTTATTTCTGACTCTCAGGCCCCAGTCCACAGTGTGATACATAATCAGTGCTCAGAAGAGAGTGCCTGCTTCTGCTGTCCCCTCCCTCTCCCACCATCTTCTCTTCAGCCTTGTCCAACCACACTTAACTTCATCAAGGTCACAACTGCCTCCATCGATGCCAAGGCATTGGTCCATTGGTCCACATCTTCATCTTGCCCACACCGGCTGTATCTTATTTCTCCCAGAAGCCCTGTTTGGCCTCTGGGACCGAACACCCTCCTGTTCTCCACCCCCTGCCCCTTTCTGTCCCTGTGACCTCACCCATGACACTAAACACCCACATGTGCTGAGGACACCCCCTTGTTCACCTCCACCCAGACAACATGACCCCTGGATTCCCAGCCTCCTCTTGGTGACCCACAGACATCTCCCTGTAGAGCCATTCAGAAGTGACCACTGGACTCACTCTACCCCCTCAGCCTGCCCCCCTCAGTACATGGGCGCCTCCCTTCACCAGCCACTCAGGCCAAGCTTCTGACTCAAACCTTCCCAACACTCCCCCATGGGATCCATCAGCAATTCCTGCAAACTCCACTCCCAAACAGCTGGGAGCCACCCACTGCTCTCACCTCCAGGGACACCCTGGCTCAGCCCCTGCCGAGAACGACCGCTGCTGCCTCTCACCACTTTCCTGGCCCCCCTCTTTCCCCCATGGCAGCCGGGGGTAGATTTCCCAAAGCTAGAACACTCTTCCACCTCCCTACGCTCCTTTCCTGCCTCTGACCTCATCCCTTCCCCCACTCAGGCCACTTGCTCCACCCACTGCACCGCCTAACTTTATTCTCTTAGTCCAGCCTCGAGGCCTTTGCACTGGATGTGCCCTCTGCCTGGGCTGCCCTTCCCCCCACCTCCCGTGGCAATCACCTCCTCCATGAGGGCCTTCCTGATGTCCCCCACATCTGCAGGGGGGCCGGGCTGTTTCCTCTGAGCACCTGATCACAAGGTAAGATGATACCGACCCGGCGCCTGCCTCCCTCACTAGCCTGGCTGGCTGGGTGGTTCACCAGGGTGTTGGCACGTAGTAGGTTCTCAATAAATGTTGAAGAAACAAAAGGCATTGGGTGGCTCTGTTTTGAGCTGCTCCAGGCTGGAGTGTAGGCACGTAACCCATCTCTCCCTGTGGTCAGGGCTGGGAGACCCATGGAGGGCTTCCAGGAAGAGGAGGCCGTCAAGCTGAACCTGGCCGGAGCCTGGGGGCAGAGGACCCCCTTGATGCCCCATTTCCTCAACCTACCTACCACGGAGCACCGTGGGTGACAGTGAGGAGCCGGGGGAGGGGCGGGCAGAGGACGCCCGCTGCGTGCGTGTGGGCGGGGGAGGGCGGCCGCTGGAAAGGGTGCGGTGGTGGGAGCCCTGGAGTAACCCCGACCTCGCCAGTCCGCGCCAAGAGCTGACGTCCCGCTGAAAGGGTCGCGGTGCCCCCCTTGCCCGAATGGGAAAGTTGAGGTCGGAGAGGGTGAGGGCAGGGCCATGCAGAATGGGGACCTCTGGACCCGGGTCTGGCCCCAAAGCCGTCGCTCACAGTCCGGGGGCCTGGCAGGGAGGGCGGGAGGCGGGGTGGGGTTCGTCCCGCGGTGACAGCAGCGCCCGGAAATGCGCCTGCAGGGAGTGGGCTCCCCGCCCCTCGCGCCCAACCCCTGGGGCTGAGCTTCTCCTCCGTGCGCTGGGGGCCCTGCGCTTGGGGTGGCCGGGGCGTGGAGCGGGAACCCCCGGATCGGACCTGCAGCGGGCGGGGTCCTGGGTCGGCTGACCTTGAGGGAAGGGCCGGAGAACGGGGTAGGGAACCGTCGCGGGGACGCCATCTGCGCGTCGGTGGAGAGGAGGCAGGGACCCGGACTCTCGGAACCGGGGCAGGGCGACCTCGGTTCGCGCACATTCCCCGGCCCTGAGCGCGGCGCCCGGAATAGCAGTCCCGGGGTGGGGGTAAGGACGGCCAGAGTCCTCGCGGCTCTCCCGCCCTGGGCTTCACAAGGTCACCGGGACATGGACTCTCAGACACCAGACCAGAGTTCAGGGGAGCCCGGACTCGCGCGGGCAGTCCTCCGCCGCCGATCCGCGCGGAAGCGCTCCCCTTCCTCCGAGGGCGCACGGGGCCGCCGCCCCTCTGGACC